TATTAATTAACGGGTCTGTGGGTGACCGAAGTTGAATAGCACACGCTTCTTTTACCTGCGCAGATATAGAGTTATTGATGCCCGAAACTTGGGCATGCAAGCGTTTTGATGGCAGGTTGATTCTCCGTTTGAGTCTCAGTAATGAACGAGCACTCAGAACCAGAATCTATAAGCGCTCTAGCCGAAAAATGTATACCATTATAGTGTATGTTTACGCGTGCTGTTCCTAACAAAACTCCTTTACTTGTATTTGCGTAACAAGAATTTACATTTTTAACCGATTTTATGCTTCCTTTTTCAGATTCGCGTCTTGATTGAGCCTGGTTTGGAGTAGATTCCACGCTACCCGATGGATCAGTTGTCGCTTTTGGCTGAATTGGCATATGGAGCAACTTGTGATGTCTCGAATGACAAGTGCTGCAGTTAAATGAGCTGGTACATCTTGAGACTGTGTGCCCAGCAGATAAACAATTCAAGCAACTGCGAATGCTCTTCACGTAATCTACTCGCTCCGTCGGCTTTAGACGCAAAAATCTGTCGCACTTTGATAGNCGCCCATCAGATAAACAATTCAAGCAACTGCGAATGCTCTTCACGTAATCTACTCGCTCCGTCGGCTTTAGACGCAAAAATCTGTCGCACTTTGATAGCTTGTGTACATTGCTGTTGCACATTTTACATGTTGCCTTTGCTACACTGGCTTGAAAGGCGCCAAGCTTTTTTGCAGGCGTCTCTGCAGAATTCCGAGAGCTTGGTGGTTTAGGTTTCGAAACGATATCTCCCTTAAGACCTGTCACGGTTTCCAGTGTTTGAAACCGATTGGATAGGAATTTATCCATATCTACCCATTTGGAAATCTCAGTTTTATTTTCTATGGTTTGCTCCCATAGTGCCAGTGTCGTTTCTGGCAGTTTTGTCGAACACAAATATGTGAATATTGCATCCCAATTTGAAACATCAATCTGATGACACTGAAGCGACGAGATGCAATTATTTATGTCGCGTTGCAGTTTCTTGATGGAGCTACCGCATTCACTCTCAACTGCGTTTAAATTAAGTAATACCTTTAATTGGGCATTGACCAGGATACGTTTATTTTCGTACCTGTCACAAAGATTTTTCCAGGCCGCACCAAAGCCATCGTTGGTTAATGGGGATCTCTGCACTATTTCCTTGGCCTCCCCCTGAGTTTTTTGCCGGAGGTGATACAGCTTCTCAACTGGGGTAAGGCGCTTATTTAGAATGTATATAACGGGAATATCGGCACCAGTCCAAGCCAAGCAACGCAGCGCAGCGCAAGTTGACCTACTTAATCCAACAACCCGTACATTGACTCAAATGGGTGTTGATAGGTACATCCAAGTCAAACGAAAATTAAGCCCACAACAGCAAAAATATGCAAATCCGTCAAAAATTGCAAAAACGAAAACCACTGACATTAACCCTCTACTGGGAAATAAGTTTGCGCGATTCTGGACAATGAATGTGACAAAGAGCCGAATGAAGTTTCCAAAGCCAAACTCAAACGGCCCCTAATTTATTTACGAGAGCAAAACTGTAATGAGCTCGTGAATAAATTAATTCAGCTTATTGGAGACAATACGTTCCACGTAACGTCAATTACCAAGGGCAACATTAAAGAGACCAAACTTCAGATTCTAACTGAAGAAAATTACCGGTTGGTAACCAAACACCTTAATGACGATAAGAAAAACTTCTATAAGTACCAGCTCCAAAGCAGCAAAGGACTGCAAGTAGTAATAAAAGGTATAGAATCAAGTGTACCCNTTCTCACTGAATATAACATAGATGGTATGCTCTGTCCGAGACACATTTAACAAATAAATATAATTACTTCATACCTGGAAACAAATCACCCAGATGGTAAAGCTCATGGCGGTACAGCGGTGCTGATTAGAAATCGCCTAAAGCACAATATTGTAGTCTCAAAAGCAACAGCCTGTCTGCGAGCAACTACCATATGCTTACGAAACCTCGACCGCGACTTGAATCTATCGGCAATTTATTTCCCACCACGATTTTTAATTTCTGAAAATGACTTAAAAGATTTCCTTGGTAGCCTGGATAATAGATTCCTGGCAGGAGGCGACTTAAACGCAAAGCATACNGTTGATAGGTACATCCAAGTCAAACGAAAATTAAGCCCACAACAGCAAAAATATGCAAATCCGTCAAAAATTGCAAAAACGAAAACCACTGACATTAACCCTCTACTGGGAAATAAGTTTGCGCGATTCTGGACAATGAATGTGACAAAGAGCCGAATGAAGTTTCCAAAGCCAAACTCAAACGGCCCCTAATTTATTTACGAGAGCAAAACTGTAATGAGCTCGTGAATAAATTAATTCAGCTTATTGGAGACAATACGTTCCACGTAACGTCAATTACCAAGGGCAACATTAAAGAGACCAAACTTCAGATTCTAACTGAAGAAAATTACCGGTTGGTAACCAAACACCTTAATGACGATAAGAAAAACTTCTATAAGTACCAGCTCCAAAGCAGCAAAGGACTGCAAGTAGTAATAAAAGGTCTAGAATCAAGTGTACCCTTTTGTGATATTGCTCATGCTCTAGAGAAGGCAGGATTTGCAAAATATGACTCAAAACCTCATAAAGGCTCAAAACCAATTGTTGCAAATTTTAGTGAATAAAAAATGAGTGAGTTGATAATTTGCTTATGGAACGCTAACGGTGTAAACCAGCGTTCTCACTGAATATAACATAGATGGTATGCTCTGTCCGAGACACATTTAACAAATAAATATAATTACTTCATACCTGGAAACAAATCACCCAGATGGTAAAGCTCATGGCGGTACAGCGGTGCTGATTAGAAATCGCCTAAAGCACAATATTGTAGTCTCAAAAGCAACAGCCTGTCTGCGAGCAACTACCATATGCTTACGAAACCTCGACCGCGACTTGAATCTATCGGCAATTTATTTCCCACCACGATTTTTAATTTCTGAAAATGACTTAAAAGATTTCCTTGGTAGCCTGGATAATAGATTCCTGGCAGGAGGCGACTTAAACGCAAAGCATACGTACTGGGGATCACGCCTTATTAACCCAAAAGGGCGGCAGTTATACAATACTATTATAAACAGACACTAGAGGTCACATCCCTGGTAAACCTTCTTATTGGCCCACTGATATAAAGAAAATACCAGACCTAATCGATTTCGCAATTAGAAGAAACATAGACAGAAATAACGTAACAGCAGCAGCTACACGTTTTCACTAAAAACGGCCTCAAGCTCATAAAAATTGTTGAATATAATTCTTATAAGGCCATAAAAATAACAAAAACAAATAACTTAAGGACGAGCACACCTAAAAGTTAAACATTCTAATAATAGAAATATTAACAAAAACCAACATCCACATGATCAAGTGAATTGCAGTGGAATAGCTGCGCTTGATTGTAGTTGGCTTAGCAAAGTGAAATAGTGGAAAATAAGCAACAAGAATTAACAAGACAAACTTAGCACAGTGCGTAGGCAACTGGCTGAGTCAGTGGTGATCGTCGGTTCGAATCCTACTGAAAGAAGTCTGATGAGGAAATGTGGTGATTTCCGAAATAGCTATCACTTCTACCATTTTTTCAAATTATTGTTGCTTTTCCACAATAAGTTTTCACAAAAAACGGCCTCAAGCTCATAAAAATTGTTGAATATAATTGTTATAAGGCCATAAAAAAAAAAAAAACAAATAACTTAAGGACGAGCACACCTAAAAGTTAAACATTCTAATAATAGAAATATTAACAAAAACCAACAAAACCAACAACCACATGATAGAAGTGAATTGCAGCGGAATAGCTGCGTTCGATTGTAGTTGGTTTAGCAAAGTGAAATAGTGGAAATAAGCAACAAGAATTAACAAGGCAAACTTAGCACAGTGCGTAGGCAACTGGCTGAGTCAGTGGTGATCGTCGGTTCGAATCCTACTGAAAGAAGTCTGATGAGGAAATGTGGTGATTTCCGAAATAGCTATCACTTCTACCATTTTTTCAAATTATTGTTGCTTTTCCACAATAAGTTTTCACAAAAAACGGCCTCAAGCTCATAAAAATTGTTGAATATAATTGTTATAAGGCCATAAAAAAAAAAAAAACAAATAACTTAAGGACGAGCACACCTAAAAGTTAAACATTCTAATAATAGAAATATTAACAAAAACCAACAAAACCAACAACCACATGATCAAGTGAATTGCAGCGGAATAGCTGCGCTTGATTGTAGTTGGCTTAGCAAAGTGAAATAGTGGAAAATAAGCAACAAGAATTAACAAGGCAAACTTAGCACAGTGCTTAGGCAACTGGCTGAGTCAGTGGTGGAGCAAGTCTGATGAGGAAATGTGGTAATTTCCGAAATAGCTATCACTTCTAC